GTGTTTATGTATATGTGTATATGTGTATACTGTATGTGTATTGTTATTTGTACATCACATGTGTATATTGTGGTGTATTTTGTTTTGTTTGTCTTTTATTTATCTTTGTTTTTCCATCTCAGCCTCTCCTGTGTTGAGCTGCTGTAATGTGCTGATCTCCCTCTGTGGATCAATAAAGTTTTATCTTATGTTAGGAGCTGAGCGCTTCATCTGGAACATGTGGAGCAGCGGTGAGGGTCTCTGGACCTCCAGGACCCTAACTGACCCATGTTCTCATGTGTCTCTGCTCCATCATAGAAACCAGTAAAACATGCAGGACCATTAACAGCTGCTCTGTGGATCAGGACGGTTTAACAAACTGTTGTTTTCACCTGATGATCGATTCTTATTGGATGAAGCAATGATGATGACTTTAAAATAAACCAATCAGAACGCAGCGTTTAACCACCTCAGTTTATTTACAGAATCAAACTGAACACAACGCAGGAAAAAAGAAACGACTTCAAAAATACTAAAGATAAAAAACCAGTCTCGCCCTCAGACGCACAGGTACACACTGAGCATGCAGCATCAGTCCAGGTACTACAGTACACAACAATATTTATCATCAAAATACATCAGGAAGGTGATTATTGATCCGATTATTGGTTCTGAAGAACAGCAGCGCTCAGGAAACAGGTTAAAGTTTAAAGAATAATTATCTGTAATTCAACACTAAATAAAACCATAAATGTCAGAAAACATAAAGAAAAACACAAGAAAGTTATCAAAACAAAAAGGTTATAATTAAAATATTTTAGTATTTCAACACCAAAGGTTTGGTTTTAGTTTTAAATCTAATTAAATCTGATGAGAAGATAAAACTTTAAATCAAACTGCTCCTTTTAAGAAGTGCTAATTCATTAGCATCATTAGCATCATTAGCATCATTAGCATCATTAACAGACTGGGAGGGGTTAGCATGTTAGCTTGTTGCTAAAGCTAGCTAACAATGTTAGCTCCTGAAGTGACCTTTGATCCTCTGTCAGGTGGATCAAACTCCTCCTTCTGTGTCCTGTTTACCTGGTGTCTGCAGAGCTGCAGGTGAGGGATCACACCAGGGTCTGCTCACCTGTCTGAACCAGCCTCCGACAGGTGAGGGTCCACACCAGGGTCCGCTCACCTGTCTGAACCAGCCTCAGACAGGTGAGGGTCCACACCAGGGTCC